TGTTTACAGCTCTTATGACAGTACCAACACTTCTGGACAGTAATTTATAATTCTGGCATGAGAGAACACAACTTGGAGAACCTTTACTCACACTTACTGTTGTAGTTGGTAGGAAGCCATGAGAATCATAGCCAGAAGGGAGCATTATATTAGTGGTTGGAAAAAATATTACTCTGTGGAATGTCAAGCCAGTATTATAGCATAGCTTGAAAACAAAACTTAACATATTTAAGTTCTGGAACTAAGGGAAGCATGTGCTTAACCCTATGCATGTCTGCTAAATACAGAAGGTAGATTAATGTTCTATCTCTATAGGGTGTCTGCAGGCAGAAAGGGGGTAAACTGTGCTTAATATACAAACAGAATAGCTATATGTATATGATATAATTATTCATATGAAGTTGCATAGGGAGTCAGGGAGAGTAAAATTTGCTTTGCTTTTATTTTTGTCTGAGACCCCATCTGGGAGACTTTTCTTCACTTTCTTTGTCTGTGGTGCCCATACAAGTTATGGAGGGCGCAGTTGTCACAGGGATAGAAAGGCAGCAGTAAAACATTCTCACAAGTTTTAACGCTTCCTTACTTTACTAAAAATGTGAGTATGTTTTTGTCTGCCTTCCTGTTGGATCTTCCATCACTTCTTGCCCTAGCAGGAAATTTGGTAAAGTATCTCCAATACCGAGACAGACAGCATTAAAAAATGGATTGAGGCAACATTGACACTCCAGCTGTTGTGGAACTACAGGTATCATGAGGCACTGGAAGACGCTGACAACCACAGGCATGACTCCAAGAAGCAGAGGCATGATTGGAATTGTAAATTCACCACAGCTGGAGTGCTAAGGTTGCTTACTTTTGCTCTAACCCTTTCCTGTTCTATTCATTATTGGGCTTTAAAGTGTATGTCTTGCCAAAATCCTTTTTTCTTTTTGTCTTGTATATTTCCTACTTAACAGCCCAAATTAAAAAAACAAATCTCAGTAGTACAGCAGTACATGAATATCAATAGGAATAACATACTTGATTATTGTTATGGCTTATGAAGCTGGGTTTTTGAATAAACACCTATTACTACAATCCCACCTCTTTTTGTAAATGAGTCACATAGCTGGGCTTGTTGAATTGCACCAGGCACAAGTGCAGACTGACACATCGCCAGCTACATGCCAGTAATAGCTTGTTAAGATCCTGTAATATCCTTCTAATGCTCTGTGCCCATATCTGATTTCCTTTATACCCTGTGACCATCTATTTGGAGGCAGCAGAAATTAAACATTACTAGCTTGTTAGTAAGACATAAGACAGTCTGGCAGAGCAGCGATGAAAGGAGCTCCAGAAATATGACTAAGCTTCATTAAAAAAGAGCAGTAGGAAATTGCATGTAATTTCTCGTATTTAACTGAGTTGTCTTTCTGTATCTCAGTGTGATCATCTTTTAATGGAATTAGACATTTCAGCTAGCGCAAAATACGGGAAACTTTATATCTTTTAAATATTTATATCACTTCTTAAAGCCAATTGTTCACTATTGAGTTTAATTAACTACTGTATTAAACTGAATGATGGATCTTGGTTAGATAAACAGGAAAGACCACAAGCTGCATCACATAAGAAACAGTTATTTTATTTCTCCTGTTTATAGCAGTTAGCTGTTTTGTGTTCAAAATTATGTTTTTACTTTCCACATCAGCTGTATACTGAGCTATACTGAGCTTTGGGTGATGGGAGGATGCTAGTTTGTGTCCTCCCGTTACCCTTAGGAGAACTATGGGGAAATGCACTGACCCCATAGTTCTCCTTTAAGGCGTCCTGTGTTTCTCAATGGACGAGAAAGAAAATGGGATTTTTGTACTCACAATAAAATCAATTTCTTGGCCCTTTGAAGGACATAGGACCAAATCTCTTGGAACAGCTTTGCTGCAAAGCTGAGGCATGCTGGTAGTAGAAGGGCTTATCCTGGGCTGGTCTATAGTTTTTTCTGTTTCATTAACAATAAGTTAAAAAAATTCTATTTTGGGTACCGTATTTTTTTCTAGCAGTTACAAAGTTATTGGTAGTTGAATGTTCATATGCCAGACACTGTTGGTTAAGGTCATGAATGGACTACAGGAAATCATCTCTATATTATATTAGTAGTTACCTGAATGATCTGACTCGTTGCCTGCTTTTAGTAAAAGAAATATAAGGATGCAGAAAACGTTATTTTTGAGTGTCCCTGGGATTCTCTCTGTATACAGAACACTGGTATGCACTGGTACTGACTCGGTGATAAGTTCGTTTTTTTCTGCACCAAGCAGGATAAAAACAAGAAGGCTGTCTGTAAGAATTTGGACTTTGTTGTCGTTTCACTAATTAAAATATATCACTTAACTGTTACAATTAATAAGTATAAACTTGTGTACAAATGCTGTGAAGGAAGCAGTGCATCGCACTATTTACTTGTTTTCCTTTTTTTTCTCCTTTATTGAAATTTAAAAAATCTGATATTTCTTTCATTTCTAATCACTGCAGAAGGCTACTATACTGTGCTACAAAAAAGTACTGCAGGGCCATCCCATGCCCCAGTCGGCATGTTATTGGGTTACCTGGGGACACACCTGCTGCCACCCTTCTGGCCAGTGCATCCCAGGTTGCTAAGAGCTCACTGACGTCACTGGTTGCCAGAACCTGAGCAGGGTGCTCTGGCCTCTAGCAGGTCCCAGCCAATGAATAACAACTGGGCGGAGCCGGCCGTGACGTCACGGCCGGCTACACCAAGCTGTCATTGTTTAATGACAGTTCAGCATCCCCAGGTGAACTCGGGATGCTGATCTATCATTGCAGCTGGCCAACAGGCGGCTGTTCACCCTGCTTCGGGTTACACTTCGGCTCAGTCGAGCCAAAGCATATCCCTTCGACTCGGCTGAGCCGCTTGCCCAGCTTCGGGAGCTGTATGGGTTATAGTGAATAGCCCGTACAGCAGAACCGAATGGCTAGCTGTGCGCTACGGCTGATCCTTTGGCTAGCTTTGTGAATAACCCTCTGTGTATAGGATGTGAGGACTCCGAGGGACATTCCATCCTGTCTCAGGTTCAGTATGGTAAAAAGTTATTTTCCTCCCTAGACCAAAATGAGCTGTTAACCCTTCAGGTGAAGGAGTAGCGCTACTGCAAGGGTAATAATAATTTCCCAGAGTTCTGTGTTTAGTGTCACTTTAAAGTAAATTGATTGTCATCTGTTCAGCACTGAATATAAACTTCATTTGCACTCCATTGTAATACCTTGAAATCAGGGTGAACTGAACAGGTTTCTTAGGAACATGCATATAAGCCTTGTGACTAAACAGTCCAGAGTGTATTATAAACATCAGTTGCAATAACAAATCTAAATAATGCAAATATTTATTTTCTAATTAGTTAATAGCAACAATTTTTGGTTCTTAATTTGTATTGTACCTTGATAACTGCATGTAGTTACTATGTAGTGAATTCCTTTTTTTATTTAATATGCCTTTAGTTATACCTATAGATATGCAGATTTACAGTTTTAGGAAGGAGCACTATGCAAAGAACATATTCTGATAACTGCAGTTAATGCATGTAATGATAGTGTCTAGTTTGTTCCCTTTTATTTGTATTTTATTGGGTTTTATTTATATTGCTTTTATTATATAGTATGGAAAAGCCTTTGCTGTAACAGCTCAAGCACCCCTGTCACATTATTGTTATTATTCCTGTAATAATAATAATAATGTGACAGGGGTGCTTGAGCTGTTGCAGCAAAGGCTTTTCTATACTATATACTAAAAGCAATATAAATAAAACCCAATAAAATACAAATAATTCTATAACGCTGACAATTTACGCAGAGCCTTACATAGAGTACATTCACATCAGTCCCTGGCCTCAAGGATATAAGATCCCTATCTCACATACATTCAGGGCCACTTAACCTACCAGCATGTCTTTGGAGTGTGGGATGAAACCAGAGTACCCGGGAAAAGCCACACAAGCACAGAGAGAACATGCAAACTCCATGCAGATAGTAATCTGGTGGGGATTCGATCCAGGGATCCCAAGTGCTTCATGGCAGAATCACTAACAACTATACTGCTGTGCTGCCCTTATTTTACCCCAATTCCTGTCACTGGCACTTTTGCTGTGTGAAATTAAAAAAGGCGTTCATACACTGAATACTTTCACTACATGCGTTAACCACATACAGCTGTCAGAATACAATACTTTTCACAATAGCAGTCCTTGAATTTTTAAGCAGGTTTCTCTAAATTGAATGACCACATGAAGTGATTTCCATGCAATTTTGTTAGAACAGGGGTAGCCAAACATGGCCCTCCAGTGGTGATGAAACTACAAATCCCATCATGCATCTGCTTCTGGAAGTCATGCCTGTGACTGTTAGAGTCTTGAAATGCCTTATGGGATTTGTAGTCTCACCACGGCTGGAGGGCCAATGTTTGGCTACCCATAAACTAGAAGGTTGAGGAGCAAGAAATTGAAAGGGTTTCCTGGCTTCTGGGAAAGCTGAGGATCACATATCAGGAGAACACACTCCTGCACAGTGCTGAAGCATCTTCTTGTGAAATTTGGGAACATATCTGTACATCCTCACCATAACTTGTTGGAGAACCATTCTGGGCAATGATTTTGGGGCATGCACGCTATATAGATCCATAAGGTGTATGTAAAGCTGAGATTTCTAGAATAGCATTGGAAAGGAGGGTGGGGGGTGGGGGGCTGCAGGCCCTCTCAGGCATATAATCTGTCCTGCTCATCTATGGCAACCATAAGCTTTTCACGTCCTGCAACAATTTCCACTTGACAAATAAGTATAAATGTATTAATTGGTACACAATTGCTAGTACCTCCTCCAGCATGTGTTCGTATTCACGATTTATATGATTTAAATGTGTAAATTATTCATTTGAAAACATAACTTGATATACAGTATTTAAGTTTATTATTTGTGCAAATGATTAAATATAATTGCTTTTCATCTTTCAGGTATCCGATCATGGGACACAAAGCTCACTGAATGCAACTTAGATCAAGAATTGAAGCTCTTTGTATCCCGTCACTCTGCTAGATTTTCTCCAGAAGTTAGAGGTGAGCTATCAACATTTAAAGCATCTTCCTTCCTTATTTGTGATATTATAGTTGCCCTTTGAAAACAGACTAAAAAAAATTGTAATAAGAAAATGATTGCAGGTTTGTCTTTTCCTGCTGTACACAAGACTAATCTGTTTTGGGTAAAGTAACCTTTTAAAGCAAAACTGCTGTTTGACTGAGGCTGTAAAACTATACTATATAATATATATTAGAGATGCACCGATACTAGTATCAGTATCGGTGCCGATGCCGAGTATTGATGCAGATCCAGCTGGCTGCGGCATCTCAGTATACCTCGAGCTGTAGCTCGCGGTATACTGAGCTTTGGGTCACGGGAGGACGCTAGTTTGTGTTCTCCCATGACCCTTAGTAGAACTATGGGGAAAAGCCCTGACCCCATAGTTCTCCTTTAATCCTCCACCTGCCTGAAGTGAGGGAAAATCTTCCTCTTGGGGACACAAACAGAAATAAAATCCTGACAGTGGTTCTAGCCCTTCCTCACTGTGTTTTAAATTCTTGCTTTGGTGGCATTTACACTCAATACCTATCTGTCATGTCATGAGCTATAAAAAGTAGGCAGGAGTTCTAACCCTTTAATGCTCTATCCAAAACAAGAAAAGACTGTTGGCTGAAGTTGAGCTCTATGATATGTGTTCAGAACTACCAGAAATTGAAGGGTGTTTAAGGGATTCGATAAAGCTGCTCAAAGCTTACTAAAAAGCTTTGTAAATGCTTGCTGTATACATTGTTCTGCTGGATAGCATTTGCCAGTTAGGGTCTGTATGATAAAGGCCCAAAGATACCCAAATGGGGTTAGAGATAGCATAACCCAATTGTAATCCCAATCATCCCACTTTGTTGGCAATCTCTCTGTCTATGAGGTTCCCAACCTGCCAACCAACTGCTGAGAATCAGTTAGTTAGGGAGGTTAGATTGCCTGAATGTCTGTATCACTATTGTCCCCTACTGCCTGAGATAAATCTGCCAGCACTGCTGATTGTCCTCCCTCTTATCATACCTATATACAAGAAAAGAAGAACATTCCAAGCAGAACAATCCTGTTCTTGGATCTACTGCCTGATCCTGGTGCCTACAAAGGGTCAGATCCTACATGTACATCCCATCACCCTCTTAACTCTACCGACGGCCTAATATTTGCTGAGCAGGCACAAAACAGCAATTTTACAGCTTTTCTACTGATCAGAGGAAAAAGCAAGGCACATCTGCAGCTGTCAAATGTTTCCCAGACTTTGAATTGTCTTGTTTGTTTACTATGTCATATTTCTGTTGACATTGCAAATCCTTGTCACTATGTGTTTGCCTAATATTCCCTTAGAATGTAAATTCAGGGCTGCAATTACAGTATTTTCTGTTGCTTCATGTTTGTTACAATGTGTTCATGAACAAATTAAAGCTGTTTTGGTTTTGCTATGTTGTTACCGGAAATAATCATTTAAATCTGATTGTCGTTCTGCCAAAATCTTGATGATTTTAACAGAAATTCTGGTTCTGATGAGCCTTTGGGATTTGATAATCTGAGCCAAATTATGATTTTGCAATTTTAATGTAAAATATTTAGTTAATATCATGGGTGTAACTAGAAATCACAGGGCCCCATAACAAAATTTTGTATGGGGCCCTGTTATTTCTAGTTATGCCCCTTGCAGAGCCCACCTGAGATCCCACACAGCCCACCTTAGAGTGACCCTGCAGAGCCCACCATAGACTCTCTATGGTGGGCTCTGCGGGGTCTCAGGTGGGCTGGTCACACCCCTGCACACCTCTTACCTGTCAGCCCTGATCCGCTGTCAGCCTTCTCCACCGCCGGGCCCCGCCTCCTCCTCAGTCACCGGGCCTGGCCTCATCCTCCTCCTCCACGGCCACCAGGCCCCAGACTTCTCCACCGCATGCTGCTGGCTGTCACTGACTCAGTAGCAGCTGTAGGGAGGAATGAGCTGCTGCACAGAGACAGCGGCGCGTTCCTCCTCACAGCCGCCAGTGATAGCCAGCAGCCTGAGATGCCATAGTGACCCAGGCGGCCCGCATGGCATCAGTGGGATCCCTTTTTTCCTCGTCCTGGCCGGGCCCCCCTGTGCCCCGGCCCCTATTGCAGCCGCCTGGGTCTCTATGGCGATAGTTCCGCCACTGGTATACATACAGCGGTAGACCAAAAGGCCCCAATGTAAGAACGATTCTTGGGCCATGCATTTAACCACTGCCCAACACCTTTTCATTGTGTATCGACAAATGCAGATGAAGGTGGTGCCAAGAGGAAATGGTAGAAGAAAGGTTGTCTCTGCCTAATACTACTTGGTTATTACAAACCAGGAACTCGGTTGGGGTATCATGAAATATGCATCCCACTTCTGAGTTGCCCTAGTAATGTGGGATGTTCATCCAGTGCCTATCTATATATGCAGTGTATTGCCTATTTCTAGACCATCACAGACACATTTGCATAGTTAAAAACAACTTTTTATTTATGAAAGTGCATTAAAAAGGGAATAAAAAAAAAAAAAACGATTTCCATTCGTTGATCAAACAGTCCATCTGTATTGTAGATTTTTGTAGATTTTCAAGGTCCAACAGCTGATTGCATTTTCCTTACCATATTTTTCCCATAAAAGGCTTCCTCAGGAGGGTTACCCAAAAAAAATAAGAACAAAATCTTACAGGGTTTAAATCAGCTACTCAAATACCTCCCACCCCTGACCTATGAAGAATGGCTCCACCTGGGGGCCGTGGGAAAGGCAGTTAACAAAACCAAAACACCATGTTGCAAATTAAGAAGCTGTGGATAGCCAATTAAATATAAACCAATAACTATAGATAGATGGTACAAAATATCTACACAGCCTTTTAGTGTATTTGTATAAATAAAAAGTTGTTTTTAACTATTCAAATGTGTCTGTGAAGGTCTATAAATAGGCGAGAATAGCCTCCCCTTTTGGTCTGCTATAACCAAATGTGGTAAAAAAATTCGCTTTTTTGGTTGTATTTAATATGAGGTGTGCCACATAGACCTTCGCTCATTGTGCACCAATGTCTAGTGAAATATATATTTGTGTCTGTTTGCACATGATTTTATGATGGAAGTCAGCAGAGCTTTACCACATTCTCCAAGCTAAGGGAAAATTCGTTTGCAAAGTGCAAATTCTCTTTCAAAGGGAACAGCCTATTTTCCTTTAGTAAATCCAGCCCACTGACTCAGGACATATATGCAATATTATTAGAAGTGTAACCTATCCCTAGCTAGCTCTTGCTGTTCCCAAGCCTTGCCTGTGGTGATGTGATGAGAGACAGGAATGGGCAGGAAATGCCTCTGATATTAAACTCCTAATGGGCCCCAATGAGGCTAGAGGAACAGAGTGCCTATGCAGTTGCTAGGACATGGTTTGCTGCTTCTAATTGGGAGTTATACTCTAAACATGCATTTTTTTACTGACTGCTTTGCCACAATTAACTGTGCTAATGAATTCCTGAGAGTTCAACTTTAATTTAAGTATAGGTCCACTTTTTACATGTAACTTTATATAGGCAGGACAGAAAGTGAGAGCACAGAGGCAGGGAAAAAAGCCTGTTTAAAGTGAAGCACTCACCATAAATTGAAGCAGCTCGCACTCTTATTCCACCAAGTGTATTATAATATATCATATTGAAAAAAACAAGCACTTCCCACATGGCCCAACAGCACATTGTCTTAACAACAGCATCATTGTAACCAGGGAGTGGCTGTGTCTGAGATGAGAAGAGCCACTTCAATGGTCTCAGGGTTATGCCTAGCTGCATGTAGCCAATGACCTACTCTTGGGAGAGCTTTTTCCCCCAGAAAAGCCTCCACAGCCCATAGGCTGGCATCCTCTGGTTCCCTCTACATCAGGGGCGCCCACAATTTTTCGTCTGGAGATCTACTTTTCAAATGACGAGCTCAATGAGATCTACCAACGAAAAAACACCTGCATTCAGAGGCGGGAGGGGGCGAGGCGGTGCATTGAAGTCAATGGCACCGCAGGCAGGCCCCTCACCCACAGTGCGATCGCCTGCACCCGGAAACCCAGGCACATTAGTGCCTGCGTTCCAGTCCAGTGCGATCCGCAAAAATGCTGCAAGCACTATTTTTGCAGATTGCACTGGACCGGAATTCAGGCACTAATGTGCCTCCGTTCCGGGTGCGAGCGATCGCACTGTGGGCGGGGGGCATGCCTGGGGTGCCATTGACTTCAATACAACCCCACACCCTCCCCCCACCCCTGAACGCAGAGAGTCGGCCGGCTTACATTCCTGTGCGTCCTAGAGGCCCTGACGTCTTATCCTCCCGTGGTGCTCGTGTGGCCGACATTGCACATGGGGAGAGGTGTCCTGCTCCTTTCCATCTGCGGCATCTAACACATTCAGCAGGCAGCCGCACGAGCACCATAGGAGCATAGCCGTAGCCAGCTCATTTTGCGCCCGAGGCAAGAAATAATTAATAATCCAGTGAGGGTAGCAAACAAACACTCCATTAAGAAATGGCAAGCAATTGTTAGCAACTCCGATAAAGTTGTAACATAATCCATTCTAAGGTGTCAAAGAACAGTAACCTGGTCCTCAATCTGTTTCTATGTCATTCCCATAATAGAGTGTTTTCGCTTAATTCTTCCTGACTTTCCCATCCCAAAGGGTATTTCCTCCTGAAGGAAGAATCCATGATGCAACATGATTTCTAGCATTGTGACATTGGATATTCAACCGCATATTCTGCAGATTGCAGACAATGCCATAATTCTACCCGTTATATAAGAGAGTCTGTAAGGTGCATTAACTGGTTTCCAAAAGGCAGGACCTTACTTAAATCATCCTACCTCAAAATGTTTCCTTTTGAATGCTCTTATGCAAAATATTGGAAAACAAAATAAACATACAACCAATTGAAAAATGTCTCTTATATAATGCGTTTTAGTCAAGTTTCTAAACACAATGCTGGAGTGGTGAATGGAGGGTTTATCTCCCCCGGTTAT